TCCCCTAAAACAGGGGAGACCCCCATGGAGACCCCCAGGAGCCCAACTCTGCCCCCAGCAGCCCCAGCATCGTCCCCAAAAGCGGGGGAGACCCCTATGGAGCCCCCCCCCCCAGGACCCCAACTCTGCCCACAGCAGCATCCCCTGAAGTGGGGGAGCCCCTATGGAGACCCCCCCAAAAAAAACCCTTCAACTCAGCCCCAACCTCATTTCCCTTTGGTGCCCTTTGGTGTCACCACCAAGCCTGGGGGTCCCTCATCAAGCACCTTAATGAGAGGTCCGCCCTGGTGTCACTGTGCTGGGACCCCCCCCCTTGGGCACTGGAGATGGAGGATCTGCCCCAAGGGTGGGCGCTGGGGGGTGGAAATGGGGGCAGGGGGCCCTTTGGTGCCGCCAGCCCTGGGGATCTCTTTTGGGGATGAGGAGCCCCCCCTCGGTGCCACAGCTCATCCTAGGGACTCCCCCCCCCACCTCAGATCACCTCTGGTTGTCACCACGCACCTCAGTGACCCCCCCCATCACCACCCCCCACCTACCCTTGTCCCCACAGGGTCCTCCTGTCCCCCACTCCTGCCCAGACTCGATGTTGCCGTACATCGTCCTCTTGTCACCAATGAACCGTCCTTGTGTCTGTCCTGGTTGATAAGAGCAGAGAAAAAAGGGGGGGGGAACGGGGGGGGGGACACGACAGGATGTGGGGGGGCCTCAAAAGGGGCCCCTCAGCACCCACAGCTCCGTCCCTGCACCCCAGGGCAGGGCTGGAGGTGACGCCAACAGTGACGGGTGCCGGAGGCTGCACCCATGGGTGCGGGAGATGTGGGGAGAGGAAGGACTGGGGGACACCTCTGATGGCACCCAGGGTGACCCCGTGGCAGTGCCTGTCGTGCCCCCCGTGCCCGAGCTGTCCCCACATCTGCTGTGTCCCCATTGTCCCCATGCCCAGGGAGCATCCACTGCCATCCCCATGATGTCCCCACGGTGTCCCCATGCCAACACCCGCGATGTCCCCGTGCCCAACACATCCCTGCTGTGCACCCACACCCATCCCAGCACCCAGGGTGACAAAAGGGGCCCTCGGGGGGGGCGAGGGGGGAGGGGGGGGACAGGACAGGGACACCCTGCTGGGCTCTGCAGGAAGAGCTGGGTGCTATCGGCATCCGCCAGCCTCAGCCACAGTGCCTGGATGTGGGGGCACCGCCGTGGGGATGTGGGGTGACGATGGGCGCCCTGGGGGGTGAGGATGGGTGCCCTATGGGGTGACAATGGGGCCCTGTGGGGTGACGATGGGCGCCCTGGGGGGTGAGGATGGGGCCCTGGGGGTGACGATGGGTGTCCTATGGGGTGACGATGGGTGCCCTGGGGGTGATGATGGGTGCCCTATGGGGTGACAATGGGTGCCCAGTGGGGTGACATAGGGTGCCATGTGGGGTGATGATGGGCGCCCTGGGGGGTGACGGGCATCCCGTGGCTGCACCACGTCCCACAGCGTTGCCAGTTGTCCCGTGGCTGTGGTGGCAGTCCCAAGATGGTGCTGGCTGTCCCACAGTGGCACCAGCTGTCCCAAGGTGGTGGCGGCAGTCCCAAGACAGTGGTGGCTGTCCCATAGTGGTGACATCTGTTCCCAGGTGATGGTGGCAGTCCCTAGGTGGCACCAGCTGTCCCATGGTGGTGGCAGCTGTCCCATAGTGGTGACATCTGTCCCAAGACAGTGGTGGCTGTCCCACAGTGGCACTAAATGTCCCATGGCACTGGTGACAGTCCCAAGGTGGTGATGACTGTCCCATAGTGGTGCCAGGTGTCCCATGGCACTGGTGCCAATCCCATAGTGGTGACACCTGTCCCAAGATGGTGGTAGCTGTCCCACAGTGGGACCAGCTGTCCCATGGTGGTGGTGGCAGCTGTTCTATAGTGGTGACATTTGTCCCAAGATGGTGCTGGCTGTCCCACAGGGTTGCCTGGTGTCCCAAGGTGGTGGCAGCTGTTCCATAGTGGTGGTGGCTGTCCCATAGTGGTGACATCTGTCCCAAGATGGTGCTGGCTGTCCCACAGTGGCACCAGGTGTCCCATGGTGGTGGTGGCTGTCCCAAGGTTGTGACAGCTGTCCCATGGTGGTGACATCAGTCCCAAGATGGTGCTGGCTGTCCCACAGTGGCACCCGGTGTCCCATGGCTCTGGTGGCAGACCCACAGCAGTGCCAAACGTCCCATGTGCCGCGGAGGTGCCAGGTGTCCCCACGGCTCTCCCCACGTGTCCCTGTCCCCATGCCCTCCCTGTCACCCCCACCCCGCGGTGTCCCTGCACCATGCAGTGTCACTCGGTGCCGGCTGTCCCCGTGTCACTCACTGCCCCGCTGCCCCCCCCCCTGCTTTCGCTCTGGACAAACAGACGCCGGGTTCGTTTTTAAATAACAATAATTAAAAAAACAAAACAAAACAAAACAAAACAAAAACAAAAACCAACCATCGAGCAAAGAAACGAAACGGAACGGAAGAGAACCGAACGAAAATTCTCCAGCAGTCGTTTCCTCCCCGCCACCACGAGGTCGGCCCTGCGGCGACAAGGGGGGGTTTGGGCCAGTGCAACAGTGCAGGATGGGGGGGGGGAAAGGAGGGGACCTGCGACCCCCCGACTTGGGGACGGTCCTGGGTGGGTGGGGAGCGCCATGGGGCAAAGCCACGGCCACAAAGTGGGGTGGGGGGCCCCGGGGCGCGGAGGTAGAGCTGGGGGGCAGCAACCGGGGGCTGCCGGGGTCCTTCAGGGTCTGCAGGGTTCAGGTGGGGGGCGGAGAGGGGGGCTGAGCCGCGCCGGGGCGGCGCCGCAGGGTCTGCTCTTCTTCCTGGGGAGAGAGGGGATATGGGGGGTCAGCGGGGTGGGGATGGGGGGCAATGGGGGGGGGCCTGGGGGGAGGGGGGCATTGGGATGGGGGCCTCAGGATGGGGACCTCAAGATGGGGACATCGGGATGGGGATACTGGAATGGGGACATTGGGATGGGGATTTTGGGATGGAGACATCAGGA